TAAGTARTGAGTTTCTGTGTTTGAGACTACATGTACTTAATATATTATGCTCAGTTAGACTACAAGAATTTGGGATATATTATACAAATACAGTTTATAGGTGCAAGGATTATTACCTTGTAAGCCATACCAGCATTATTGATTAAGATATCAAGTCCACCAAAAGTCTTTTGAAGATATTCCTTGAGCCTTTGGATACTTTCACTTGAACAAATATCCAACTGATGGAATGYTGGCTTAAGACCTTCCTCTTGAAGCTTTTTGACAGCTTCTTTTCCTAGTTCTTCATTGCGAGCTATGAAAAAATATTAATTCATCATAACTTTGTGTGATGGAACTTGGAATGATTTGGATTCACAGGGAAAGAAATAAGAGTTTTGTCAATTGACTGATCAACCTCTAGCTTCATTATTAGCATTATATCTCCTTTCTTATTTGCAGTTTTTTTACATTTTCATCTGTGATATTTTTAGGATTAGACAGCATATTTTATATCATGAGAATGAATAAAATATATTTATACCTGTCAGAATTACTGTGCCATTGAATTGCTTGCACAATGATCGAACAATTGCAAAGCCAATTCCCTTGTTGGATCCTGTAACCTTAATAAATGAGATGAATTATTCATTACACAATAATCTAATAGTATGCATTATACTCCTGTATGCATGGTTAGGTTTCATTATCCAGATATATTGTTTTAGACATATCAATGTGGCTTTTGGACAATATAACAAACAACAAACATGTATGCAAATAATTTATCTTTGATTCGCTGGATGCGAAAGCAACAGGTTCTATAACTTAATGTAAAGTAAATTAGGGTCATTTGTCGAAGTAGGAGATGCTGAAGGATAAATAAGTTATAAGTTAATGCAGCTAAATAGTCTACACCCTAAGCTTATTATAAGGAGACTTGCAGTTGACTAGAAGAATCATGCTGCAATAYACAAAAGCCTCCAAATAAAACTTACCACAGCAACTTTTGAACTCATCTTTGTTGAGAATAGTCTGAAGTTCTTGACAAATCCCAAGAATGACAAAGCAAAATTTTGCAGCAGGACGTCTGGCCARGGAACCGCGTGAGGTACTGGGGCTTTTGTGATATTTTTTTTACGCAGCGGGAGTGGGTGGAGAGAAATTTGTCTAGCGTGGTTACCATGCACCCGAATTTGGCGTCTGAACCGGGTGTCCTGTCATGGCGGCTGAACTTGGCAGCATAAAATATTAACATTTCAAAGTATTTCTAAGGTTTTCGTCTTCTTTGGGTCACTTTAGAGATAATTATATACAGAAGAAGAGAAGGAGACTGTTTGGTATCAAGTCAAAGTTTTATTAATCTTCAAAAATGGTGGGTAAAATCAAGGAATGTCGAACTGAAAATTCATTCAAATCCTTTTTAAAAATATAAAGTTAAATCATCGTTCACTACTCCAGGATCAACCTGACAAGTGTCACAGCAAAAGATATCTATCTTTTAGCTTGTTTTATACGATTTGAACTGTAAATGTTGTTTGAAGTGGAGGATAAATAAACACCAAGCACAGCAACAGCTGAATTTTGTGACGTCCATCTTTCACCAAACTTGATGAATGATATAAGCTTAAATATAAAACATTAGAAATTCATTTTGCAGTACGAAATTTATCACGATCTTTTTCTCTAATGTCAAAGAATATGGCATCTATTTAATTTAATACGTGTACTTGGTATTTATTTTGATCGATGTGTTTTTACATTTAAGGTTATTATGCGGAAGACTTCCTTTAAAACTCATATATTTTGTATTTTACCAACTTTTATTTTCTAAACTTTATCTGCATCTATAATATTTTGTCAGGATTGATAATTACAAACTTTCATTTTTAGATGCATAAGTCTTTCTGTAAAGATCATTTTAAAGAAAATAAACAGAATCTCAATCAAATCTCAATCTCATTTTCCAATCAAAGCACATYAACATAGTCTTCCAACAGTTGCCATAAGCTGAATTTTGAGATGGCAAAGTTACACAAACTTGCTAATTAATAGATCCTATACACCTGTAAAATATTAATTCAAAGATTTACGTTATGCACTATTTGAGTTAAAAGGGATGAATCCCTAATGGTAATTGCATATAAAATCTGAAATCTTTATAAAGATCCTTGTTTTGATTCTACTTGCCTTACTTCCATGTTAAGGCTTGGTCACAGAGCAGTGGCTAATATCCACAAAACTACAAATCCAGCTTTCTGATTAGCTATTCTGAGCTGTGTTGATGGTGTCTTAGGACACTTGGTCACTTGAACTACACGCTGATAGTCTATTCAGTTGAGAAAACAATTTAGGATATAAGGAACCATGGTAATAAAAACTCCCAATTAATGATAAATAAAGAAAACATCAACTTTCTGTATTTTCTAACACTCTGATCTGTATTTTTAAATAATTGCATATTTGGTGAAATGAATCCTGTCAAATGTAGCATTGCATAAGATTAACGTAGTGCTGCACTCCTTCTGTACAACATGACCATGAGTGATATATTTTCCAGTACAGCAAACCACATTCAGTCAATAGCCAAAAAATTAACAAAAGTACCAGTATAAGAGCTAAAAAATTGAACGTTGGTGGGATGGATAGGGAATTTCTGGAATCCTTGGAAAGTTTCTATTTTACTATAAATTCCCGTCGTTTTATATCATGAGTGTTTKAAAGTGTTTTCATGGCTAAATCATGCTGTGTAAAGAGACTAGATAAGTAGAACATGTTTTTTATCAATATCAAAAACACACCCCCGACGTTATACATCTTGTTTACCATGCCTTGTGAAAATGTKTCTAAAGCGYCCAGCTGTAACAGCTCTGATATTGCCATTGTTTTCCAAAAGTTTCCTGAAAGAGCAATAACAGGGATAGTCCAGYCCCASTCCCATTTCGACCCGCTTGGTTAAGAGGCTTCTYGATGRRGAAAAGGGCRAGAAGCCCATTAACCRAGCGGGTCAAAAAGGGGCTGGGACTGGACTATAACAGGGACTAATATGGATCAATATGATAATAATGACAGTTCCTTTATCAGCAAGTAAAATTAGTCATTTTTTATAAAACAGGATATAGGATTGAACGAACATCACCAGAAGAATGTTGTYAACTATTTGCGCTTTGCAAGGTTCAATCGAAGTCAAAGATTGAGAGGAATAGAAGGGGCATTTGAAGATCTTAAGGATAGCAGGTAGTATGTTATTCTATTCCATTCCATCCCATCCTTTCTATTCCATCACATCCCATTCCATTCTATTCTATTCTTGTTGGAAAGGTTTAGGGGAGGAGAGAATTATCTTCATTGATCTTTTCTTCAAAACATTGTTTTTTTTAGGCTTGTAGAAGATACGTACACTTTAGATGAAATAACAGAAATGCTGACTGGTCTTTGTGCTGTTGTGAAAGGAGAAGTAGAATCAGAATTAATCAACACAGCACACACYAATGTTCTTCTACTCAGACAAGTTTTTAGTCAGGCAGAAAAATGGCACCTCAAACTACAAGCTGATATATCTGAACTAGAAAACAGGTGAGGTATAGAATGTAGTCATGGTTTGGTGATTAAACAAGAAAGGCTAAATTTATTTTTAAGAAAAAATCATTGTTTCATTTAGCCTGGCTATAGGAGTAAAAAATCAGAATTTATCTGGTGACTCTGTTGTAGTTCAGGTTCAATATGATTTTGAACCAGTTCAATTTCTTCTGAACTGGTTCAGTTTATTTTGAGCCAGTCCAATATAACTCAATCCAGTACAAATCAGTTTAGGGTTAGGTTTTGGGTTAGGTTTAGGGTTAGGTTTTGGGTTAGGTTTAGGGTTAGGTTTTGGGTTAGATTTAGGGCTAGGGTTAGGGTTCGGAATAGGGTTGAGCCAGCATTATATACAAATTTTCTTCATTAATAAATTACAATTAAGATAAAAACAATTTGCAAACATTACTACCAACAAAATCCTTGATGGTATAATTGGTAGTACTGTGGACTATGAAGCAAGAGCTCAGTGGTTCAAACCCTGATGAAGGTAAGTGTTATTCATAAATTAAAAATATAGAAAATATCAATATTTCTGTGGGGTATAGGGTAAGATAAAGTAGGAAATAGTAGATGGTAGAAAATAAGATGATAGATAGAAAATGGGAGAGAATGAGATGGGATATAGTTCTTTTAGTTCTTTTAAGAATGCCAAAGCAAAAAAAAAGACCAGTACAAGAAGTCTTGTACTGGAACAAATTAGATTAAACTGGTTCAAAAATATATTGAACCTGAACTACAGCAACTCCATGTATGTGGTCTATTCACATGCAGCAATAAGCGGCCACTCTGTTCTGTCCTACAGTCTTAGCCTCTTGARCTCAAGCCTTTGTTTGGTATGCTTTTTGAGAAAGTGGAATGATATCTCCATGTCCTCTGATATTCATCCAATAAGAGTAATAGTATCAATCATGCAGTAAGAGTCGATGTCTCTGAGCCATAGCAAAAAAAAATAACTCAATAACTGTGCTGGGAACTTACAGTTTGCTTGACRAAGGGTCAGACAAAATTGTTAATAMTGAAGATAATCATGGATCACTGTCTTATAGGGAACTAATTGAAGAGATTGCTAAGTTTGAAGAAAGAGAATTTTCACCTGCTGCTCAAACTTCTCAGGTACTTTTATTCATCCATCCATCCATCCATCCATCCTTTTATTTATTCATTTATCCCATTCACATTTTTATTTCTTTTTTAGACTAAGATGTCTAAGTTGTCTCAAGCTTCCAAGTTAGAGCCACTAAACGAGGGTGGAGCAGTACCCCTTCTACAAATGGTAAGAGAAGAACGTTTTTGATTTCTTGACAGGAAACGATATACAGCATCGCAATTTGATAAATATTACTTTTTTCTTGTAAAGATAATGTTTAGTGGAGGAAAAATATTTCTTGCTTTGCAACATTAGAAACCCAGTAGCTGTTGGACTGCTAATGGAGGGTTGGAGGAGATTGATCTCTATGCTGGAAGTTATAAGTCAGTTTGTTTAGTGATTGTCTAGCACCACAGTTGAAAAAAAACAGCCAGCCCTTCAGCACTCAGCAGGGCATCATGTGTTGAAGTCTTTTCACTTTTCAAAAACACACTTATCATGAACACTCATCATAAACAAGGTTGTTTATATACCAGGTTTTCACTAGTTAATGAAATGCTCTAATATTGGCTGGATATTCGATACTGATGTTTTAAAAACCAGTGAATATTGATATAACTTTTCAATTTTCAGATAAACATTTTTGTTGAGGCTTCAATTTCAGTATTGGTTTTCACAGCTCAAATAAGCCCAATCAGCTGCTAGACATTGCTATCATATACATCGAAACTATCAAAATGTGTTGAATAATCACGCTCCGTAATCAAAAATCTTAAAATAACGCTTTCGTTGATTTTGTTTCCTTCTCCTTTTCCTTGTATGGCGCAACTAACATTGCCCGGTTACTATGCGAACCAAGAGAGACATTTGTATTTGCTAGCAACCGTGGTCCTTTGAAAGAGTTTTTTWGATGTATTCTCCTTTCTGTCCATTCAGCTTCCTATCCACAGGAATGCGTTGTGGTTTGTGAATAATCAGCCATTGGTTAGTGTCGCCTATACAGACCATCATAGCTATTATAGCTCAAAACAACCTAGGTTGCCTTAACAACGGAGCCAAAAGATTTTTGTAAGTTATAAATTGACGCGTCTTACAGTTTCTTCGGTCAAGTTGCCGAGACAGAGTTAGGAGACCGTTTGTATGTTWTTGTAATGATGGATATATAGTATGGCCATGATACTACAACTCTCAGAGAAAGACCTGCTAACGGAACTTATACAAGATCAGCAAAAGGTTGGAAATTGTTTTTCTGTGTTAGGCAACACTACGCAGCATTTCTTTGCATGTMAAGCTATTTCAAGGGAGAATGAAAATAATCCAACTTTTAGAACTTTGACGCTAATTGTTACAGTTTGTCGAACTGAAAGAGCGARGTTGAAAAATTTTCTCTCGAAAAAATATTTCCGTGCTGTCTCTTTTGAATTACAAGTTTTATAGTTTAAGTRTAGACTCGGTAATATAAAATGTGTGACTATAAGTTCTATAGATTTACGCTGAMATTCACGGTACGATGTTGAAACTTTGTTATCGAAGGAGCTTCTCATTTTATGAAATTAGCTAATTTCATTTAAATACTTTTTAATGTTTAATGTACATTSAGGCCGGGGTAGTTATGCCTCTGCACGAATTGTGCGTTTATTTAATTAATCCACTTCCTAGGGAAATACGTTTTGTGATGTCCAAAAAAGCACAAAAAGAGGGGGGAAATGTCAGTTCGCACAACCCCTTTCGTATTTTGCATTTTGATATGATTGTAAAATAGACTATTATAACATTATAGTGATAATTATTTTGTTGCTTATGCTGTCTAACGTCGGTTGATGTAAAATGCGGTTTACTTAGCAGAAAGATATCACATCTACTGGTCTCACACGGCAAAACACATCCTGAAAAACGTCAAAGTATTGCAAAATCACGTCTCTATTTCTTAACGATGAATTATGTAATCTGCCTTTCAATGAAAGCTGTGGCGATAGGGATTTAAAAATTCCTGTAATTCACAGGGGAGGGGGTACAGTATTGTACTTTTGTTGGATTTTTAGTTGTGTTTCAAGATTGAAGGCTTTGTGAGTAAGACCATCTTTCAATGAAGATCGCTTTGACACTATCACGRCATGGATCGCGTGCAGCTGAATTTTAAATTTTATTTTATTCTTAGGAGTAAAGACCGCTCCTTTTTCGTTAAATATYACCCAAACTCTTTCCTTTCCTTTTAGAATAGTAGATATTTATGCCAAAGGAAAAAATTGATAATAAAGAAATATTGTCGTCAACAAAATTGAAGCTCTCAACGATAATGTGTGGGRAAATAACAGAGATTTTGATCAAGCTTAATTCTTTTCCAGGAAATTAATCGTTTAAATGATGACAACACTAAACTTAGAAACCGCATCAAAGACTTGGAAACAAAGGTGGGTCGCCATAGTATTACGTCATAACTGATAGTGACGTCATAATAACGTTACGTCATCCAAGTCAAGTCATGCAATATAACTAACTWTAGGTACATATAAATCATGTCTTCACAGGCCACAGGTGTACTTGGTGAACAAAGGAAGCTTAAAGACAACTTGGAACAAACACAAGCTGAGCTAAAGGCCAAAAGTAACCAGGTTAGGGAAATGCGCGATATTAAACACTGGATAGCAACCAGTGAAGTTGTCAGTAAAATTAGATTTCTTTGAACAAGTGATTGTTTCATGCTACATGTGAACTTGTTTTTGTTTTTAAAAACTATCCCTTTTGACACACTAAAAGAACAAGACTTTCAATGATACATGTTTCGTCTATTTGACCTTTTCAATCATTGTGATTGTTCACTAAGCAGGGCATAAGCAGAAAAGTTTACTGACTTAACTGTCAGAAAAGCCAAAAATGGAGCATAGTTTTCACTCTGTAATCACTGATTTATTCCGTTCTGCTCTTCACAGAATGTTGCGAGTGATTTGTCAGATCTGGAAGGCAAAATGGCCAAAGTTAAGATGGATCTGAAAAAGGTAAAACAGATTTTCCACAGATTATACAGTTAAAATGGAAATTTCATATTATATCCGTGTTCACATATAAGCTTCTTTTTATTTGATTTTTTTTCAGTCTAAAGAGTCCGAATCCCAAATAGCTGCGTCATTTGATGAAGAAATAGCCAATGCCAAGGTAAGATTGTAGTTCGTTATCAAGCATTTTTAGAAAACWACGTAAATCTTTAAAGAAGTATTTCAAATAGTATCGTTCCTTAACCGATATCTTWTTGTGCTCAGCATGAAATTCTAAGGCTTCAGGCAGAACTAGAGGACACTCAACAGGTARGTTCCCGCCTTCAAGTCAAATTTCACCATAAAATGTAGGAAACGGTCGACTATTGCATGACAAACCTATAAACCCTTACCATGGCCACGCCCACTAAAGGACGGTACTGTGCTCAAGTGTACTTAGAGCGGATTTCGTATGAGTGGGACACCGTTACCGCACGGTTACCACACAGTTACCGGACCAGGCCTTCACAATTTTGGTGAACCAATGGGGCACTAGAATTTGGTTACAGTAAGATTACGGTCACAGTACAGTACCGTCCGTTTCCCACTCATACGAAATCCGCTCTATCCTGTAATGTTTGATTGCTAATAATTATGGTTTTCCCTTTAGGAACTGACAAAGAAATTCAATGAAACATCGCAGTATAAGAATATGAAGCAGATGCTGACAACAAAGAAYGAACAGATTAAAGACCTTCGAAGTCGTCTGCGCAAGTACGTTAGTTTGAATCAATCCCTCATTTTGACAGAAAGCTGTAAAATGTTCTGTAATGTTTTTTTTTTTAYCCTTCTTAAACCCGTAGTTCCCCAGATCCACATATTATTGGCCAATGCGTGTCGTCATGTACTCCCCCTATTACGAATTATAAGATCGCTTTTTTGACCTGTTTCGTACATCATTTGGAGCAATGCATAAATGCTATGTATATAATATCTATTTTTAGGTACGAACCAGAAACCTGAACCAATACCCACAACATTGCGTTCATGTGGCCCGTCCTGGAACATTTTTTGACTTTGAACCATTTAATTGTCGCACTTTGGACTGTGAATTACAAGTATTTATTGATCACACGAGCCAGTTTCAGATTCCTGGAAGTGTCTTTGAAATTTAGACAGTTACAGTTACTTACAAAAATAGTCATTCCRTGAAACAGCTATAAATAGTTAATTACATTTATTGCAAAATTAAACAAAAGGAACATTACGATGGAACCAAATTGGGAAATTTGCATTGTCACAGAAATATCGTCCTTGTCTGATATTAAAGTATCCTAAAGACCTACTCTGCTGTCCTTTCTTTTTTTTTAAGTCAATGTCCATTATCTTAAGGCTGATTTACACGGCACGATTGTCTCGTGCGATTTGAATCGCGCAGTGTAAATGCCCCTACGACTTGTCTACAACAGTCGTACGTAACCTACGACTTGTAGTAGGATTTTGAACCACTGCTTAAAATCCTACGACTTGTAGTAGGAAAATCGTATACTACAAGTCGCGCGCGACAAGTCGTACCGTGTAAATCAGCCTTTACGCGTTATGTGCCCTCTCTCGTTTGGCGCCATTTTCTAGAGCAAAGAATCATGGGAACTAAATCACCGCGGTCCAGACTAAGCCGCTACGCATTTCACTAATGAAATGCAATTTTTTAGGTGTTTCATTAGGAAAAATTTCCTAAAATGCCTAAAGTAACCGTGATTTGTAAAAATTAACAGTGAGTCGTGAAAAAGCGATTTTTGTAGTCGTGAGACGTGATACGCATCCCTGGTTGAGACACTTATTCATACATCACGATAGATAGATGACCGTTTCTGCTCATTTGAAGTTTTTTTATCCTTCAAACTTTTTTCATTAACCTCTAATGAAGGAGAATGTTTTTAGGGAAAATTGATTAAGTGCCCTAACGCAAGGGATTAGTCATAATGACTTAGGTCGACTGATCACTGTCACTGACTATTTTCATGAGGAAGGAAAGGCTTTTTGTACAACCATACGCTGTCAATGCCATCTTGAATGAAGTCWTTTGGTGYCCATGTGAATGGGAAACGGCAAGCGATCACGTGACTRTCAMTATCTACCTCTTGTTCCACCTTGACTTGCAATTGATCCATCTGAAAATATGTATTTGTGGAAGTCGAATGAATAGACAATTCATATAATGATGAGTCATGGGGTCATGTCCGATTTACGTTCCAGTTTAGGCAACGTGCAGATACCCCATGCACAAAAGCATGATGGGAGTTATTGTCCTTGCACTTTTTCATCTGTCTAAGCAGTTTTTCTTTGCAAAAATAAGAAACGTAATGCCGTTTCTACAAAGAAAAGATAAAAAACGGCATTTAGTGCGATATTTCAGTGGTAATAAAAGTACGAAGACTACACCTCCCATCGTGCTTTGTTGTATAAAAATGACGTCGTTGCACATGACCTGTTGGGATAGTGTGCGTTTAATCTCACTTTCTACACTATTAAATGCACTCAAGACGGATGTGATTCAGTAATCAACAAGTCATAACTAACCATTTCTGAAACGCCAAATATTACAACGTTGTCATAACCATTCAAATCCACCTGCGTAAAGAAAAAGAAATCAAAAATTCAGAAATGAAAAAAGAATTTCAGACCCAAAACGCAATTCATACAAACAGCCACCTACTTTCCAAAGGTCTTGCCTAGAAAACGTTGCAARGTCAGACACTCCATGCCATTTTGCTTGTAACTTTGAATACCAAACTAACCAAGGATTAAGCTCAATACCATGYGCCTTATAACCTTTCTTAGCAGCTGCTATAACCTGCAAAAATTTAACATAACTAMTTCGAATTCTGCGTCCCATCCMAACTGAGACCACCCCTCMCAGTTCATTTGCTTATTCCCTASCCCGACCATACACAAATACAGAAGTGATCAAAGATAAGAAAGAYATGAAGATATGATAATACAGGTCGTACCACTCTGCCATCTCCGCTACCCAAATCCACTAACGAACTACTCTSACTAGCTCGTCCACGTGGGGGTCGGCACATCTGAAGTACATTGACRATTTGCCGCTCTGTCGCTGGGACATAAGGAAGACAGATTTTKCGCAAAGCCGGAGTAATGAATGGCGTTGTTATGGCCACGAGTCCYATTGCTRCAGCYCCAGTGACACCCAATACAACTTTACCAAATATGGATTTCGATGTCTTCTTTGRCGAGGAAGTTGGGTTACCTGTGTCGTCTTGATCGAAAACGGAATTGACTGCTTTACCAGTGTCCATTTCTTCTTGTTTCACAACTAAGCTTTTTGAATTGCTATGAGACTGTTCCACGATACATGGGCAAATTTGAARTATCAACATTACATGTATATTAAAAGATTTTTAAAGAAGTCAGAACAGAAAATCACAGTTGCACAGCTGACCAGACGTTTTAACTAGATGCAATTGAAGTGACTTGCAAGTTTTTAAAWCTGAATGATAACAGACTCAATCCAGTACTTAATCAGGAAACGTAGCCTGCTTWATAAGAATTTAAGAAGCCTGCTTCGTACTGGGACTGACTGGCTCAGAGTCTGAAGAGTCCACCATGTTGAAATTCGCGAGGGACTGGTTCAAAGACCAAAATAGAACAAATTAGGGAGGGGTGGGTTAATTTTTAGATGTCTTCAACTTTCATCATCTTTGCGATATATATTACATGCATTGAACCTGCAGTAGACTGACTATCTTGTAAATATGTACCATGAATTTCTTTTTCGGAATATTATCCTGGAAAATATCAAAATATATAAAATATATGAACATACTTTAGTTCAACCCCTCCCCCCATAGTTTATAAAATGCCTTGATATGGATTTGCCTGTGTTTTGATCCATCAAATATTTGAACCTCATTCCATTCAAGCTGTATTCSTAGTAGTGTACCCWKYCAACCATGTAGAACTAGACTGTGTTGTACAATTCTTTGCGATGTTTGGGGACCTGTTCAACGAGGAAGAGGACGAAGAAGCTCCGGTGACAATTGCAAACGGAAAGAATGCTGCCCATTCGTCTAGTAAGGGTGAAAAAACTAATATTCCTGCGCCACCGGATCCACGAAGTCCTACAAACCTGTGTGGATTGATAAATCAAGGAGGGACATGTTACTTGAATTCGCTGATTCAAACGTTGTTTTTTACGCCAGAGTTTCGAGGTAAATGCATGTTTTTGTTTATCTTTGACGACTTCTAGCTGCAGGACGTCTTACGCTACGTCGACTTTTCCTACGATAAAATAACCTACAGTGTTTTATTGACAGAATTTAAAATAGTCATTAGTTTTTAGGACGCTTATATCTTTTGAACAAAGCCATTGTTATCTACTCTTCTATGGTCCAAAATTAAGACTTTTCGGAAAGGTTTTATTCCCATCATTATAGATTAATCGAATAAAAGGTGATGAAATTCATTTAGCTCAGGCTGCAACTCACAAAAGAATAGCAATGAAGATATTCAATAGAAAAATWGGTCTTTTGTCAACGAATTTGAAGACGACTGATCAATGTCTTGATGAAGAAATTGGCTTTATTATTTTTAATGTTATTTATTTTATATTAAGTTTTTTTTTAATGTTATAAAACTTCAGTCAAAAATATATAAGTTAATATTTTTATTGCAATATTATTGTAGAACAGTTGTTTCAAGTTGGCCCTGGTGAACTTGGTGAGCTATCATCAGTTGTCAAGGTAACCGGTTAAATTTACTTAATTCCCTACCATAATCATCACTTTAAAGATATACATTCTGCATCCATTAATATTTTACATGTATRAATTTGTATACTCAAATGGAATGTAGATAAATTGCTGACAGGGTGCAGGTTAAGTGAGGTCAGGAAGTAAAGATCATCATGAAATTATAATAATTTTTCTTCATTCCATGGAATTTTCTATATTTTCAGGCAAGAGTTATTCCTCTTCARCTCCAGCATCTGTTCTGTGAGATGCTGCTTCTTGACAGAGCAAATATCAGTACCTCACAACTGACAGACAGTTTTGGTTGGACTCAGAATGAGGTATGACAGTAATACAATGCCGGATGAAACTAGATGAATTTTATGATATATTGGGAATCAGCCATTTAATAATCTCTTCTAACAGCAGGGACTTCTGTTTTTGTCAAATTTCCTCCCCAAAAGTACTTGATGAAACCAGAAGTCGCGGTCGTTAGAAGAGACTAGCCATGCATTTAATTACTGTGTCAATAACTGATTGATACTCATTATGCAGGGATTTCAGCAGCATGACGTTCAAGAACTCAATAGAATTTTATTCAGTGCTATTGAATCCTCATTGGTTGGTACATCTGGACAGAACTTGATTAGGAATCTTTACCATGGTACCCTAGTATCTAAGGTATGTCTAAGTGATTGTTATGAGAATCATTATAGTCAGGAAGTCCAGGCTGTTAAAGAAAACATCATACTGTCATAGTTGATTTATCAATGACTGCTCTTAATGTTGGCTTTGTTTTATGTACCAATAGATCACGTGTCAAGAATGTGGCAATGTCAGTGAAAGAGAGGTAAAATAATAAAATATGTTTAACTCTGTTTTTGTATGAAAATAACTATTTCTGTAGAAAGAAAAACGTATCCCCTGCAAAAGGACCTATATTACATGTAATATTAAATTTTGTGTTTTTCTAATCAAATAGGAAGATTTTCTAGATCTTCAGATGATCCTGACAAGCTGTRCAAGTTTGGAGCAGAGCTTGAAAATGTTTTATATCATGGAGGAATTAATGAGTGGTGAAAACCAATATATGTGTGAAAGGTGTGGAAAACTTGTGGATGCTACAAGAGTAAGTGGTGTTTTCTTTCTTTATCTAACTAGTAGGTTAAGGGGGTGCAGACAACCTTCAGAGACCTATTGATATTTCCCTTCGCAGCTTGTGTGCATCCCTTGTGTGCATGAATGAGACATATGCACGCCTTCTTAACAATAATCTTGGATCCTTCCTTATTTTTTAAAATATTATTAGAACCAACAKATGTCAAGCACCAATAAATTATATTCTGCTCTCTTAATAACCCACAGGAAGCAAAGCTTAGAAGCCTGCCATCTATTCTGTCTTTCTCTCTGGTGAGGTTCGCATATGATYTGAAAAGGTTTGAGCGCTACAAGGAAACCAAACGATATACTTTCCCTTTGGAATTGGACATGAGGGAATTCTGTGAAGATGGGAAAGACGACGACATTTATGAGCTCTATTCTGTGGTTATTCATAAGTATGGTCTAGTTACAAGTTGTAGTGATAAAACCATTTTGTTACACCTGTCATTTTTATTGGCTTRACATTGTCATGTTATTTTGATAGGGGTAGTTGCTATGGTGGTCATTACCACGCCTATATTCGTGATGTTCAAGGTCTTGGAAACTGGATATCCCCGGTATTAATAATGACTTTGATCAGTTTTGCACTATTTGTCATTAAACCTTATTGRAATAGTCTCCTTCACGGTTACCTGCRCCATCTTGAAAGGTAGCYGTGCCTTTACATCRAAGCGAGACAATCGTTGAGCATGCAATGATAGAAACCTGTGAATAATTGTCTGTAGGTGTGAAAGGAGGTTTCTATCATTGCACACTCAACGGTTGTCTCGCTTCGATGCAAAGGCACGGCTACCTTTCAAGATGGYGCAGGTAACCATGACGGAGACTATTGAGTTAATCAGTAAGCATAAAATGTAGTAATATATGCCACAAAATATGTAGTAATTTACCAGCATGGACTGAGGTCTTGTTTTTTTTTCTAAAATTCTTTCCCTGATTATCCATATTAATGTTTCTTAGGATGAACCAGAAATTGCAAATCTTTGTAATGATAACGAGGATGGGAAATTAARTAACCATGACGATATAGATCGTAGCAATCCCTTACAACTTTTAATCTTTCTTGTTGCAAGTCTTGGTGGACAGGCATCAATCTCAGATCTTTGTCAGGTACAGTGGTTTCTTCCTACTAAATTGTTGTCTCATTCTATTAATAAGCAATCACCTTTGGTCACTTTCCAGACGTAGAAATGAGAGCATTTGTAATAGGAGGGTAAATGGAGAAATATTGGAACTTGTTATTATGGGTGACTGCATGACTGACTAATTTAGGATGACCACTGAATGGGTAWACCACTATATTATATAGATAGCATAGCTCACAAAGAGGAATAGAAGTGTTCCAAGGTAAAACGTTATTTGAAACTGTGTTGTAATTCAAGAACAGTATATTGGACACAAACACTTCTTTCTATTTTATAGTCCATGGTCAAGGAAACTGGGATAGCATGGAATAAGGTGTTTAAAAAGAAGCATGGTCCATTGACAAAGGTAGGCAAATTGAATACTTCATCTTAAAACCTAGCACCTTTGAACATTAACCTGGCTTGTATTATTTATTGAATTTATTAATGTTTGTTTTTTTTTAGTTTATCAAGAAACATACAGATGTGTTTGATATATCTGAGGGTTCATTGGTAATGCTGAAGCATGATAAAACCAATGAACAACATGATGACACATYGAATACTAGTACAGAAGCAATTGACACAGAGGCACAAGAAACAACTCTACCTAGAGACAAGAGTAATCATAAAGGTGATAGTAACTGGTAAGAACAATTAAATTATAAGGTGCTGGTGCCATTGTAATAATTATTGACCTTGATGTTGTTTTGTTTTTGTTTATGCTGAGAAGTTATTTGCATATAAAAATAAATGTACAATGAATAATTATTTCCTACTATTTATAATAAAATAAATGTGTATTGTAATGTGCATGCTGCATACATTTATGCAATATGCAAGACTGCATGGATCTGAATACTGCAATGCATGAACTCTGTCACCTTATATGTCAAAGTTGACCATTCCCAGATATTTTGAGCTATTGTTATTTTTCTAGGACTCTATTATGTAATTCTCAAATTTGTAGAAATACATTTTTTGAAAGACTGAGTGTTTATTGATTTCTCATTTACTGCCTTAATCAATAGCCTTGATGTCAGGGGACAACAATGAACTAGAAATCTACTTTTCACTATAACATCTTCTGCTGGATTTCTTAGGTTTGATTTGAATGATGCCAGAATTGTCTGTATCAAYGAGCAAGATATAAAGAAACAGTTTGCTGGGAAAGAAAGTGCATACATGCTTTTCTATCGAAGAAAATGTTTACAACCAACTACAATTGACAAAAGTAAGCTGTATAGCTCAGTGACGTAACTATAGTAACCATTAAACTGGCCAGTTCCAAATGCAATTTATTTTTATTTAATATTCTTATCAGTAAAATTATAACTATATATATCATTATAAATACTATCTTATTRTGTCCTTGGATTAGAATCTCAATGGTAATGATTACAAAACATTACATAGATGGTATTGTGCCACTGAATGCGTTAACATGGGGCGGGTTACTATAACAGTTATATTAAAGAAACTATATGGTCATGATAYTTTCAGATTGTCTAGGAAATGCTTTGCCAACCAATTTGGTTTCTGAAGTCATTTCAAAGAATACAGAACTGTTAAAACAGCGGTAATTGAAACCCGTGACTACTAGTATTGATTGTTTTTGGTCCTACACAATAAACTGATAACAGTTTTAATTTTGTTTGTACAACACTAGAGAGGAATATGATATGGAGCTGAATCGCATCAATATTGTTTTACACTTCTGCTGTGACTACACTGTCAAAGATGGTGTCATTGTTCCCAAAGAGGTAATGCTTGAATGATTTATGATAATTAATATTGTTTTTAATTACACAAAAGAAATTATTACTGACTTTGCCACTAACTGTGGTTGTCGTAGTGGTATGTTTTTGTATGTTTTTGTTTTGTTATATTTATTTGGTTGTTTTGTTTTTCCTTCAGTTGTTGTTGTTGTTGTTTGTATGTTTGTTTTGTGTTGTTTGTTGTTGTTGTTATTGTTGCTATATTTTTTTTGTTCAGATAATTGAACAATGTATAGCTAGAAATTTAAAAGCCCTTAGAATCTTTCCACATATATCCCATATTACAATATTAACAATGTAAAAGTTTCGTGAGCTTTTGTATATTCGTATGACTTTTTTTTGGTTTTCTTCAAAATACAATAATAACTGACCTTGGCCAATCCATCTCTAGAATACTTCAATAAAAACGTGCCGACAGATTCTTCAAAAGGTCATCATTATTGACGTCAGATATTCAGTTGTCAGAACTCTTAATTACTTCTCAGGGTTACATTTTCATTGTTTGTAGTAATCAGTCTCGCGTTCATTGAAATAATTCGACAGTACCTTGACATTTGTCCAASGTTTACAGAGGAGTTTCTAGCGTGTAGTTCGACAAGGCAAACTGAATGGTTGAAAAAGAGCCTCKGCTGCTTCTTCTTCTCATTTTAGGCATCCCATCATCACCCAGGGATGTCGAACTAGCACTTCTCATTCGATACATGTCATTCATGGACGAAAGCGACGTCCGGCTATTCGTCCTGTTTCTTGACATTTCATACTGAGAGGAAAATGAACTTCTACTGCTCCAGCTGTCTCTTTTAGWTGAAGCTKGTTGCGTTGAATCGGTCGTGGAATCCTTCTCTTCACTAATCACTTCACATACACCTGTTCTTTCCTTGTTTTCTGGCGCTTCAAAGAATATGCAGTCATCATCTTCTTCTGTAATCTGAGCACATTTCGTGACATCTAGTGTTTGTATATAGTACATGCTCTCAAATGTCCCRAGCCCCTCRTCGGTGATTTGCTTAGAAAAGCTTAGATTCAGTGAGTGCAGTTTTGGGCAAGTACCTTGTTGTAGGTGCTGAGCCAGCTCTTTTAGGATGTGGTCAGTTACAGCTTGTCCTTGTCCCACGTTGCAAAGGCCTAGGTACTCTAGTGTTGATATGCGGGCGATTTTTGGTAGAAGACCTTGTAGGCCCTCCGTTGTGATGAACGAACACCATCCCAGCTCTAAGTATTTGATACTAGTGTTTTCCCAGTCAACTAGATTTAGATACTCGTCTTGCACACTKGTACCATCTAGAATGAGAGTTTCTAAGCCTTTCAACCTTGCAAGCAGAACTGGTAGAGATTCACCCGATATGTTTAAGCATTTCCTTAGRCTTAAGAGCCTMAGGTTTTCACATTGGCAGAACTTAAACAGGAAGKTRTCTCTCACAAGTTGGCAGTGTGTCGCATCSAGCTTTTCTAATTTTTTTAAGCTCGCAAATGCATTTGGTAGGACTTTCTCATTTGATAGGGCGATGATTAGAGCATCACACATACCCAGCCAGTGCAGGTTGCTAAATTGCCTTGCCATTGCTTGATAAACAGCAATAGGACCATCTGAATAACGTAAGTCTAGGTATTCCAGATTTTCTGGAAACAGCACTTGGTTGTCGTCGTCGTCTTTACAAAACGTTACTGAYTTGAGAACTAGTTTCTTGAGGTCAGGACAAGACGATGTTARAGTGTTAAGTAYGGCTTGTGGAATYGTAAAACCGCTCATATCCAGTGAAGTTACCTTGTACGCCAAATACGACTTGGTTACGTACTGAAGCTGACATTTGTCGTGCAAAGGTTTKGAATASCGTCTCAGATCTACTGATTTCCAYARCATAGGATGAGAGGAGAGCTGATTCCATCTTTTGCAAACTTTGGACACGCACAAAAGGTCTGGCGTAGGTAAATAGAAGAATACATTCAACAATAATGTRTCGTTCAATGATGAGATTGCCCCTTCTTCACTTAAAGATAAAGCCCTGGAAATTTGCCCAAGCACAGCGTTGGAGAGTTTTCGGTATAACGGTGCCTCCATCGTTGACCAGTAGTGTCAGATGCAGTGATATCTCGAAGACTGTTTGTRAGGCCGAGGATGGAATAATAGACTTGTTTGAGGTGAATGACCTCTGTGACGTGAGTCACATGAGTGTGCACGTGAACATTGTGTGACGTGAAGCTGAACATGACTTAATAAACGACACTTTGCTAGACCAGAGACGCTTGATTTATAAATGCATTTATAGAACCAATACAAAAGTTTTACGGTTCAAGAACGTATATGTAAAGGCGATCATTGTTTACCTTGACTTTCCATGAGATTTTGATAAGACGGAAGTCAAGGGCATGAGGTCCTATCGATTCGATAATKGATTTGTTAAGTAGCTTGGAGGATTAGYGAGCACCGTACCGGCATCGTACCCAGGTCCTTGTACTGATTTTAGGATTTCATGATTTGGATAAATAAATCCCGCTTTCTTTCTTTCTTGTKTTTGCTATTTTTGTTATTTTGCAGTTTCGYTGTTTTCATTGTGTATTTTGTTATTTATTGAATTTATTCAGTCATTTTCACTTTMATTCTAATTACTAATCTTTCGTTCTTTCTCTTTTACAAAAATGAGTTTATACCTGACCTTTTTTATTATTACAGGAAGTCTCTATCGGCCCTTCAGTATTTACTCTGGACAGACGGAAAACTGTAGATGATTTTCTCCGTCTTGTCGATCAGGTAAGAAAAATATTCCACCCCATCAGGATTGTTTTCTCTGTAATTGTGATATGTTATTGTTTTATGAACCTAACGAGTTATTTTGCTGTTCAACGATATAAGCGAGGTCTATCCGGGGGGGAGATCCGGGGGGGAGATAGCACTGGGAGTCATTCTTAAACACACAACGTAACGGAAACGCGTTTTTTTTCGTTTTACGCAGCCCTAAATCTATCCAATTACTATACTATACCCTTGAACGTTCTAGGACGTCCACTATATTTTGCCCTTTGGGATTGGCTGTTTTAATGATTGACGACACAGAAAAACTAAAAGTTTGAAACTGAAAGTTGAGGGTTTTCGCTTTTGTTATTGCAGGCCTTTATAACTTTCACTTATTCTTACCTTTGAAATCTCGTTATAGCGTTGTCTTTTGAGTAAAGAAGTGATTCATGATTTAATAGTCCATAAAGCAAAGCAACTGTCAGCAGGAATCCACCTCTATGACGACATCACAGGTATGGTGAGACCTCTAGATCGATTACAGCGAGTGGACTACGAGTAGTCCATAGAGCATGAGTGGTCTAACTGTTTTAGTATCCACCAAACTACAGGACAAAATTAATAAAGAAATACGAATATAAAAGGCGACTTTTATAAACGTTTTATAACATGAATAGGGCATAGTCCATTAGTCCGATCAGAATGCTAGATTTGTACTAGTCCATAGTTTAGTGTATCTATATCTACTAAAGTGTTTCTTGTTCTCTACTTCGATGAAAGTCCAATCAACGTCTTCGATATCACGTACACGATGGACAGAGAGTAGACTGGGACGTAGTGAGCCAGCCGGACTTGAGGATACCCTTCCGTATAGAGCGAAATTAGGCACTAGGAAATAAAGTTCTGGAAATAATGACTCGCCTGTAACAGTGTTTTATTGTTTTAGCTTGCAAGACACGCTCATTGCTTGACTGGGATGTGAATGACGGGTCTGAGCTTTTTATTTGGTGCGGAAAACAGGTATAGACTTGGATGTTGGTGTATAAAAATCATTACTCTATATTCWTTCTTAAACACTGTACTATGAAATGAAGAAGGGTTGCTGCCTATAAGGGTGCATTTTCTCCCATGGCCCCGCCCGACATGTCGCCCCGCCCTTGTATCTCGCGTTCAGTTTAGCAGCAAGTTATTCAATGTCCTTTCCTTGAGAATGAATTTTACCAATATTAGAGTCTGAAGTTGACACTCATAGACAAATAAAAGGTACTTTTATAACCAGTAGTTTTACTTTGCTTTTTGTTTTTGTGTTTAGGTCGATGGGCATTATGTTCGTACTGGCAGAGATTGTGAGCCTGTACTGTTATCGATAACTTATCCTCTGAAAGATGGAAAGTCTATCGATGTACAAAAAGCTTTTCCGAAAGACTCTTCTTTGAATGAATTGAAGGTAGAGAATTCGCTTAATTATTTTCAGAGAAGATTATATCCTAGAAAACTTGTGAGATTGGGGCGTAAGGAAACATTGTTTATTGTGTTTAATCAATTTTAGTCAAACCTGAACTCGGCCGAACGTCTTTCGGCTTTCCCGGTCACTATTCTATCACAAGCCTGGCTTAATAAGATCTAATAATGCTATCGTTATTCTCGGTTTGATATGAACGAATCTTTTTTCAGGTCTCCATCAGTAAAATCACAGGAATAAAGATGTCAAAGCTCATTCTCAGTATTATGAAATTATCGAAACGTATGTAGAGAGRAAGCACTCAAACCGTGAAATAGTGATTTCACATTTCGCCCAATTGAAACGTTTTCGCAATACGAACTTGTTGTAAACCCTAAAGATAATAATATCAAAATAGTAGTAATCGACATAAACTATCCTTTATTATGAATCAGACTGCTCAAAAGTATAATTTCAAATATGTATTTCTAGGATCAAAAACCAAAGTGGAAGAGCTAGGAGCATCGTTGGTAAGTTAAAATCATGCAGAAAGAAAACCTGATTGCTGCAAACGTTTTATATGAGAAACAGCAGTGAGGTCCTTCCAGGGACGCAAATGTCTTTGGTTTGAAATTCCTGTCTCGGCTGTAACCAAATAAAGCCACTTTCCCAGAAACTGATTTTTGAAAATGTATCTCTCACAGGATGGAAATACACTGCAAGCGATGGATTTTATTGACGGACAAAGGCTTATTGTCGACAAGAAAGTCAAGCAAAAGTATGAATGTTTCTTTTTCATTCACAAACGAAGAATGTAGCTCTCTCTCTTTTTTTTTTTTTTTTTTTTTTTTTTTTTTTTGAGAAACATATGATTTATCCATTTTAAACAAATTGGGATATAATTAAGACATACCGAAAAAGGGAGTGAATGCAAAAGATCAACACATCTGAATTGCAGCGTCTTGTTTTTCTGCCAGGAATTCCAGCTGTCATCCATTGTGTTTAGCCACTTCAGAAGCAGAGAAACGTGACAACCAGATCAGTTTACTTGTAGAAAATCACATTAACGTAGGTTACATATGAGATTATGTCTTCTCTTTCTTTCCCTCTCATTTTCCTTTTTTTCATTTCCCTTTCCTTTCTTTTCTACCTCCTTTCCTCTTTTATTTTCTCTTTCTTTCTCACTTTTATCTTTCCTAGAAAGATATTAATAAGACAAAGATGATAATTACCTAATAATAAGATTGTTTCCTGAGTTTTCTCGATACTTGCCTCGTTTAATCGTATTCAATATCACTAATCACCTTTTTAATTCTCCTTTTCCAAGTAAACCGCCTTGAAATCATGCTCATTAATTATTCATGAGGTATCCAGTCAATCCCTGATTGTAATTTGTAACACGTGCAGTAACTGGATACCAGAGAAAGTACTCCCACCTTGTATTCTATCTTATTTCCAGTTATTTTCACCTTGTTTCCAGTTACTTCATGCATTTTTCCTGGTATTTTTTAGTGCTCCGATAGTCAGGGTACAGCTACTGATGAGCGTCCTCCAGTGGCAACTTTTTATGTTGACAAACATAAGGTAATAGTACCAGTGTTTTCGTTATATAAATTATTTTTTTAGCTGTCGTGATTGCCACTTTTTTCTTTTAGACGATTGGTGAGCTTAAAAAACAAATAATGTCTTCGTCAGATTTTAGAATAAGCGCAGGTAATGATAAAATGATAATGATAAAATTTAGTTGATTGTGTTGGTTACAGTTTGTTAATTCTGTTTTATAGATCAAAATTGTATTCTACGAGTGGATGACGTCACACATGGGCTGGGACCTCCGTGTAAGCACTTATTTCCTTGTTTTTGTTATTTTCTTCTTTTTGTGCGTTAATTTGTCTTTAAAAGCATAAACGTTTTTCTTTTTATTTCTTAGTGCACGAGCATCACACTATAGAAGAGCTGCTTCTGACCGATGAACATAAGATTGTCATTGAATCAGGAACACCACTAATGGAAAACCAAGTAAGTTCGGTTGAATAGTGAAAAATGGGATAGAATGGGATAGAAAAAGCAATGATGGAATGGGATAGGGTAGAATAATGATAAAACAATCATATCTAATCGTTGGAAAACAATACCATTGAAAACTGAATGCAAAAACGATCGCTAAATTTTAGCGGTGTGTTTGTGCTGTGGTGTACATAACACAAACGTTTCACTTCAGATTGCCATCCGGTTTTACTGTGCTGTAGTCGGTCTCCCTCGAAATGAAGARGAAATAATCCTAGAAACATCATGTACCATCAGTAAAGTAAGTATTCATTACGATGTTAATATTTTTGTTGGAAAATTAAATCTGATCTCTTTTTATATATAGTGTTTAAGGTTGATGATAGAACAAGCTGGTCTTGAAGGTAAATGACACAGGTTTTTAACCGCTCGGCCTCCTTGATTGTCCAGAAATGTTTGGTTTTGCAATTTTCTAAAGACTTTCGTTTGCTTTTAGGTTCTGAGTGGCACCTAAGTAAAACCAATTGGTACGGTGAGGAAACAGGAATAATTGAAAATGAGGAAGACACACTTGACAAAGCTGAGGTGAACCATGGTKACCTTTTGGTAGTGAAAACAGGACGACTTCCACCAAAGGTACTATAAATTGGTCACCCTAATAACTACATAAGCAATTAAACAACAAATAAACACATGCGAATGGTGTTGTAGGGTTTTGTACGGCTATCATTGTGGCTTTTCAAACGATGTCAAGAAGGCAATGATGATGGAGAGGGGCATGGGTCGAGTGTGATATCCTGGATTACTTCAGGACTGCAGGGTAAGTCGATCTTTTTTCGCATTGAATATGGAGGGTCGAGCATGAAGGCACATATGCATTCAATACCCTTTGAGTTGTTCGTTTGCTGAAAGGTGATTTCTGATTCGTTGAAAATCAAACCTGGGTAAATTTTCGTATGTAAAAAATAGCGCAAAGATTCATGGATGCGCGTGATCCTTTAAGTTGTCATTCAGTGACTTCTAAAATAAATAAATAAAGTAAGTGTTAATAAAGTTTATGCTATTTTAGAGCTACTAGGAGTATCTCAGCATGAAAGCAACGACAAACAAGTAGAAGATGTAAGTTTATAATGAATTCTGCTTACAGCATTGACTGCATAAATCTGACAAAGAGACAAGTTGCTTTTTCAGCTTGAATTCCTCGGTGAAATTGAGATATCCATGGATGCCATGTTGGTTGATCTCAAGAGGAAGATTATCGATATTATCCTGCAGGTTCGATATGAGTGCTTTATACTTTATACATGTTGGGTATTTGGCTTAACTTACGGACAAGTTATACTCTGTTATATGCGCATCCTTGATTCAGGAAGGTATTACTATTCTTACAGGCAAAAGAGTATCAAGTACCATCGCCTGAATTCTTAAGAGTCCAAGACATTAAGGAGGGGTATCCTACAAGAGTTCTGCGTCACCATAACAAAACTCTAAGGTACGTCATGATAGTGATTTAGAGTCTTATTAGGTTCGCTTATTGGTATTGGTTCGTTGCATCTATAGAAGGCAAGGTGATGCTAAATGTTGTCTGCTTTGTAGATTTTCAAAGGTGTGCTCTTCAAGAAAACTAAGTGTGCAAGTGCTTAAATCAAAGGAGGAGCTCAGGTTAGTAAGAAGAAAGCACGCTGCAATTGCTTCATCCTAAACTGCATTGTTCTCGGTTTTTCCTGGTTTAGTTGAAAACACTCCGTATTATACTTGTACTGTCTTCTATATCACTCAAATGCTGCTGAACTTTATTTATTTACAGTCAGTCTGCCATTTTATTAAACGTTCAGAAAAGAATATGTGGTCAACGATGTTATGAGCCATCGAAACAAGTACGTAGACGAAATCGCCTCTAGAAATGAACTGTATAGATACTGCACACCAACGCTAATTTATTAGAACAAAGCATGATGGGAAATTGGCTGGTCACAAGCGAAGGGACAAGGGTACAAAAGAGCTAAAGGCGAAGATCCACCGGGACAAAAGGGTTATCTATTATTTCCCCAGAGCCTCTACTTCAATTCTCTCTTCCCGACCAAAATATCTAAAGTGCGTTATGAAAAGTTCTCATCATTGTATCGTTTCAGTTAATCTACGATGCTCCGAATGGAGCGACGTCTTCATCTTTACATCAATGTATCAGTGAAACGTTTGACATTCCTCTAAGCAGCCTCTCCATAGCAAAATACCTACGAAATAAATACGATTGGCTTATTATATCCTTAAAACCTTATGACAAGGTAAGATTTAAGAATTATTCAAAAGAATTATTTACCTATTTTAGTCACTAGTAGAAAGTGAAATAATGCCGAAGAATAATAACATTTATAACTCTTTGCTTCATATATGTATTCAGGAACAATCCTCAAAAAATAAAAAGGTCAACCTTCGACACTCGCCTTATCATCTACAAGATGGCGATATTATAGGAATCAAGGTAAATATGAAAGCTGGTAGGCTAAGTTTTATGCCCCGTTTAATTACCTGATGTACCCAGGCTGAAAAGAATCATATTCCCTTTTGCAATGTTCAACGTGTAGCTTCCGCAGACTAGAAACGTAAACCACAAATCCTTCTCCGAACTGGGCATAACGTCCATTTTGTTTTTGTCGTATTGTAGGATATATCAATAGACAACACTGATGACTTCAGCACTCCTGAGGACGAAGCGGCAAAAGAAAATCTGCAACAAATCCGAGATGAAAAAATTCGCAGGTTAATTTCATTTTTCAATTCTTTCTCTATGGTTTATATTTTTGACGAAAAGCGAGCTAGAGGAAAAAACGCTTGTGGTATTTGATCGTTTGCTAAAACTGGAGTACTAAATTACAATTCATGTTGTTCAATTTTAACACTTTCTACCTTTTTGCAGACGAAGAGAAGAGAGACAAAGGGGTCGTTATCGAAGGCCTGAAGTCGAACTCAAGATTCACGTTGACGATTTTACGTAAAGTGAAATGAAGATTCTTTCGTTTTCTTATTCTTAATTTAAGAAAATCAATCATTGGAAACTATGATACATGAAATTCTATTGTAAAGGACTATCATTGGTAACACAAATATGTCTATGATGTAAAATTTTATAAGATGTTAGACACTAACAGAGAACGACATGGTTGTACAGTAATAAAGGTGATACTACACTTGTTTTTTAAAAGGGTTTAAATTTGATACCATATATGGTGACTTTATTTACTATAATAAGACCATACGAGCATAAACACTCGTTAAACACGTCGACAAAACTTTGTTTCATGTAACTGTAGGTTGTCTTTATTGGTTTCATGGTGAATATATACACAATAAAAATCTCAATTGATTCAATTATGGGATTCAGTTCTATTGAGTACTCTGCGATAATATCTGTACAGATACAGCATTTTTTTTTCTTCTTTTTTTAGAAGCATTTCTTTTTTTTTTTTTTTTTGGATGTTTGAACGATATCAAAATATAATAATAATTAAATTAAATTTAGAATGACACTTCCATAACGTCGCGCCTTATTTAGAGGTTGCGGGTTAAAACTTTTTTTTCTTTTTCTTTTGAACTATTTTCATTAATCTGTTTCATTAACATTCATTTAAGAGAAAACACATTTTGCAACTTTTAAAATATCATCTGTTTTAGACGCTGATAAGAAAATACGACTCTCGTACTAACAACATGAAAAACTAACAACTTGAAAATGGCAAAAAATATCGTTTGGATTTTTGTACTTCTCAACGTCATTTGGTTTAGTTTTCATTTCTTACGATAGAGCCTTCTTGTTAAGTCTGGAGTACTGACAAAATCCACAGTAAAGTTTTTCTGGATTTGATGATCAGTTGGGCATGTTGGTGTAGCTGCACAAGATGAAGGCCGTTGAGCAGGAAGTCCGCGTTGTTGGAGTGCAAAGTCACCTGTAACAATTACCGATCAATAATAAGACGGTGTTATACTATTTGGGAAAACACTCAAATTTGAACCCAAAGGTTAATGTAAGATGGTATGTTGGTATTCAAGGTCACTTATAACTCAAGTTGAAATCAGGGGGGTGTGAGGAAGGTGAAAAAAGGAAATATATCATGAATGCATAYATTATTTACTTACGCTCGGCTTGTACAGGGATAACAGCAGGATTAACGCTATTTGATGAGGATGTGCGTAGAAGATCTATTGRAATGCAAAAGGTTTTTTATATCCTAGGATAGCAAAGTCTGATTGGCAACATTTGATYRATGTTCATATGTCACCGACCATGCAGCTCATAAGATGACGGGAATTATTGACAATGCATTTTGAAGRATGATTACCAAGAATTAAACAATCGAAGCATTACATTATCTTAGAGCCAATAGCCTGAAAGTCGTTGTGTTTCTTCACGCACCTGCTCCTGTATCTAGAGAGAATAAAAAGGAATTTCGAACTTGCTCCGCTCTACTGTCGATTGGTCTTTTCTCGTCTCCTGTCAACATCAGAGTAGGTGTGATAGCTTTCCTGAAAAATATGTAAATTATTAGGTTTTATTATTGCTAATAATGTACTATTTCATGTACGCACCTTCTAAGCGAATCATACATTCCCTGTGGACAAATATTAAATTAGTTCAATGTCAATCAATATTTATCAATTTATAAAACAGACATACATATCTATGGGAACAGTCTACGTTTTGAGGGCTCTGGGTACGATGTTGTAGAACGTATAGCCTGCGTAGCGGCTCTAGGGGAGGGGGCGGGGTGGACTACGCAGGCTATAGAACGTACACCAGTACGTTAACGTATAGGCCACGCGCACGACGCAGCATAACATTTTTTTATCTGCAAATTGACGGGGCGTGAATCAAACCTCTAAACAGAAAAATCGAGAAGATCATTACTTGTAGTTTGAGGTATTGTCTGGTTTTGTCTTCTAGCTTTTCAGAAATCTCAGTTAACCGCTTCTTGGTTTCTTCAAGACCCTTTGATTTTGCTG